TTGTATGGAGTACTGCTGTTATTCGACCGTTGTCTTCAGGTCAAAATTCTTACAAAGAAGCCCCTTGCAAGAGGCAAATTTTTTGTAATTTCTCCCAGTTTTTTCAGCGTTAGGTATATAAATGAATTGTTTGTCAAATTTTGAGGTCAATTATATTTAATTGTAATTTATACTTTCTTTTTTTCCCCTTCATTTTATTTTTCGTATCGAGGAGTCGAGGTTTTGTTGATTTCTTCGGATTTCGATTACTGTAACTTCTCTTCTATTCGGCCGATTTTTATGAATGAGGTCTCTTTTTATTTGTGTTTTAACGGAGAGTAAGGAAAAAATTGCTAAATACATGCGAAACAATTTTTTTTGAAAATTGGATGAATCCTAGCGTGACGGTGAAATGGTTAATGAAGCGTGAGTAATTGGGGTACGGGTATCGGCCGCGTTGGGACCCAAGGCCCATTGTTCTTCGTGACGCCGACGCAGTGATCAGGAGCGTGGGGACGAGAGGGCTTAGTGGACTCCTGTATGAGCCACGTTTAGCAAATGGTCTAATGAGTCTCGAGGCTCATCACAGATTGCACTTACCACTATCCTGGTGGCCCCGGCTATCAGAGCAAGGAGTACCAACTTTTGAAAAGGATCAGTGTTGTGGAGATATGTCAAAGCAACGTTGTGAACAAAACGGAGTGAGTGAAATTCTCATTCAAGGAGTGCCGAACTGGTCAGCCATCCTCGAATCAGTTCGCTTGCTTCCGAATATATATATGCATATTTTAAATCAGCGCGCCCCATTCTAAGGTTTTTTTAAAAAAAATCAAGAAACATAGACTCTTGGTATTCATTACACATAAACTAGCGAGCCCCAGAATGAGAAACAAATTTTAATCATTATTATTGACGGATTAGTAAACTTTTTACACGCTTTGGAAAATCTCAGAAGTTCGCGGTAGTCGCTTTTCGGTAAGGAACTAGGGGACTCGGTTATTGTATCGAGGGGGGGGTCGAAACGATCGCAAAGGCGGTATACTACGTATACGCGCCAAAAATAGAGTTAGGATAGGAATACTGCCGCGCTAAGGAAGAACGCCGTATGAACCTTCGTGCGTTGCCAAATTTCTATTTGGCTGTATCTCTTGGGTGCAACTGACCCATTTTGGAATTAATTTGGTAATTGTCTTCTTTTTTATTTTTCTTCGGCGGATTATTTCTTAACGCAGAAGTACAGTATTATTCAATTTTTGGGCTATCTTTATTGAAAAAAAAAAAAACTGATTTTTTTATTTATAACAAAGGATATTATGAGACGATAATGCCAAATTTGATTACCTAAGGTGATTATAGAATAACCTTTCCAAAGTGCCGAGATGACGCAGCCGAACGCGAATTTCAAAACGCTCTACCCCCGCTTCAACTGAACCAATTTTAGTTTTCTTTCTTTTTCTTCTTTTGGTCTGAAAGATATCTCTAAGGAAAATTATATTTTAACGCAAAACGGCAACATAACTCAATTTTTGGAGTCTTTTTTTATGGAGACAATTAACTCTTTAATCCGGTCAAATAATTTCGAACATAAACGAGCCAAAAATCAATATGTAACGTCCTTAAATATCAATCTGAGGTGGATTTTTTTTTTTTTTTTTTTTTTTTTTTTTTTTTTTTTTTTTTTTTTTTTTTTTAAGCTTTTTAACGGTTTCTTACGTGATGGGTTTTTAATAAACGGGGTTTTTGCTGTTTTGATCCATGCGGCGGCGCACAGCGGATCGAGTCAATCAGAGAGGCCGGACATGCAAATTTTGATGTTTAATTCGTCACATTTTAAATTTCGAGGGATGTTAGCAGAAGTAAATACTTTGAGGGAACCAATGGACACATTTTCAAAATCTCAAAGTTTTGACTTAACGGAGTTATGAGCTTTCAAAGTTTCCAAACTTTGTCCGACCTCTCCCATTGACTTGATCCACTGTGCTGCTAGACGCGGTGGCTTGGTGCGAGAGGGACCATCTAGATGACAGCCAAGTCTGCATTTCAAACCTGTATAGCTCCGCTTTTACACAGGGTACACTTAAATTTTTTGGTTTTGCTTGAAAGAATAAATGGTTATGTTGCAAAATCTTAGTTTATTAAATATTTGGATCAATAATATAGTGAAAATACATTTTTACCCATCACTTAAAAATATACAAATGAATTAATTCTTTATTGCTGCAGCAGGTACCAGAGCTGAAATTCTTCCTACAAGACAGAAATAAAGCTACTTGGCTTCTGCGCTACAGTTCATACAAGAATGTAACAATCTACACTATCGGTTGTCCGAGACATAGAATAATTTAAAGTAGCACAAAGAGCCATTTAAGATGCAAGCTCATACGCTTCTTGGACTTTATGTCCATCCATTAAATAAATGTCCACCGCTATTAATGTCCACTAAACGTTAAGTCCAGTCTTTATAAAGTCCACATGATTTAATGTCCAACAATGAATATGTCCAAAATTGTCCAAATTGTGGACATGTTATGTCCACATTTTTATCTTCTCATTTAAATGACAGGAACCACCTCAAAAATAAATGCATA